CCGGAGGAGAGAACCCCCTTCCCAGCGCCCATGGCGAACGCAGCCATAAGCGAGTTTTATGGGTATTTCTTTTTATATTATTTTATTCATTTCACAGTAAATAAAGTGGATACAGGACTCGGAGGAGAAGGGGCCAGATGTTAGCAAGTTGTATGAAATTTGGTGGAAACAAGCTGTAAAAAGAAGAAAAAAAAAACACACAAAAAAAACCCCCTCGGCTGTAAAATTGAAATATTTCAGAAGAGGGACCGTCCATGCCACACATCTGGAGAGGCAGCTGTCGTCACTCGCAGGAAACTCAATACCCCGATTTCACCCCAATTAGGCCGCAGAGTTGGAGAGCAGACCCGGCCAGGCCGCTCTAATTGGGCCCCCCTTTATGGTGTACAATGGGCCCCCCCCTCAGGCCCGGGTCCGCCATATTGCTGACTAGACTCCGTGCTTGCTCCCATCGCTGCCCTGCGACCCCTTCACTTTATTAGGTGGGTAGAAAAAGGGGCATTTTATTGCTCACAGAGTTCAGATAATATAACCACCCTAGAAAAGGGATGGCCAAACTCCGGCCCTCCAGCTGTGGGGTGAAACAACAAATCCCATGATGCATCTCTCTCCGGGAGTCATGTCTGTGGCTGTGAGAGTCTTGCAAAGCCTCGTGGGATTTGTAGTTCCACCACAGCTGGGGGGCCGCAGTTTGGCCATCCCTGCCCTAGATGGATACACAGTTACAACCGCGAGCATCGAAGCCGACTGTAGACGGAATTTAATTCCTTTTTGGACAGAGCGGGAAAGGGTTCGGGGTTTGATATATGGGGGAGGTGGGTTAGGGGTGCTGGATCACTTTGGTTGCAATTGGTTACTAAGAATAAAATGCCATAAAAGATGCCAACGGTCCATGGATTTGGGGACAGTCCCGAAACTTGAACCAATGTTAATGTGTCCCGGGCCATGTCTCAGGATCCCAACATAACCCTTAAAGTAGAACTGAATCCAATTTTATAGTTATGGGAGGGAGGGTTATAACCCCTGTCAAGAGATTTTTGCCATCTGTGAGACTTCCCTTCACTTCCTGTCTGATATCTACAACAGGAAGTGTAAGAAAATCCCTTCGAAGAGAGGAAAATCTCTGGTGATCACCATTGAAAGATTTCCCATCTATTCCTGTTCTGGTGGCAACCCAAAATTGGGAATTTTCTTTCACTTTCAGTGATAACGTTCACCAGAAGAGGGTGAATCTTTGTGGACATGGCTGGAGCATTAAAAACCTGATGGGTGTCCTAATCCCCTTCCACCCTGTCCAATATAGCCCTTTAATTTATCGTGAATGCGCATTAACTTAATAAGATATCTACTACAGTGATTGGGTGGTTGCGAGTGGGTGGCTGACTAATTGGAGGCGGAGTTTGCGTGGGACAACCCAGTAGGAGGGTGGGGCTTGGACAGGAGCAGTCGGTCCCTGGCCTTGGATGGATGGGGTGGATGTGGATGGGGTTTGTACTGGGAACAGGACTCGGATGTTAGTAAGTATGTCTTTATTGGCTGCTCTCCATCATACAGAAGCTGCTTTCTGGGTTCTTGGAACAACCTGCCGGGAGAGAATCATTTCCTGTCCCCTAAATAGATATGAAATATTGTATGTGAATATCCTGCAGTCTGTTATCCGGCCAGCAGGTGGAGCCGTCTGCTCATTTCAATGCTTTCTCCGTCTACCATGTATTGAAAAAAGCGCGCTGTTCGTAGAGATCCATAGATCAAGGCGAAATTTACACACGGAACTGAAAAAAGAAAACAAAAATGTAACAATGTATAAACTATACAAAAAAAATTATAACATTGACCCAAAACCAATGAACCTTTCAGCATTTAGAATGGCAATGTCCCCTGAGAACCCTCACCCCCTGCCAAGCAAGGTATAGTCACCCATCTACGCTCCCTCATCACCTCTCCACTGCAGGAGACCACCATGTAAGTGTAAGCTATAGTGTTGAGGCTTACCTGAGTGATGTCTCTGCCCTCCTCCTTCCATATCCACATTCGAGCCTGGGGATTGGCTGCTCACGTCTGAGCGCAACACATGGGGCTAGTCACATGCTTCCCAAAAAGTGAGGGCAAGGGCGCCCATTGATCAGGGAGGCGGTGGAAGAGCATGGATGGGGAAGCATCTTGCTGAGGTGGGTAGGCTGTCAGGAGACACTGACACTGTTCCCTGCATTGCCTGGCGACAGTTCATCCTATCACTGTACCCGTCCCTAACACTCACCCCTTACTCTATCTTAGACCCCCTTCACCCTTCACAATGCTGCACTTACCCTAATGATGGTGAAGTTGTCGCTCCCGCTCCAAATGCTTCCTATCAGAACACTTCCATCGTTTGTCTCTCCGGTATGTGGTGACATCATTGTATCTCTGCCCCGCAGGTCACAGAAGCAGCAAAGTTTCTCCTGGACGGCGGCGGGAAGTTACCTCTTCCTCTGATCGCCAAACTGCTGAAGTTCCAGTTCCTGAACATCAAACAGAGAGATCTGCAGAGGAGGGAGAGCGGGCAGAAGGTAAGAGCACATGACCCTCAGCCTTAAAAGCAGAACACCCAATGAAATACATATACGTGAGCTGTTGTACCTGCCAAAGGATTTAAATTCATGTCCATCCAGGCCCAAGATTTACACAATTCTGCTACACAGCACAGCCCTGGCTGGCAAGACAGGAGATCTGATTTTGCTGTAGTTCAGTAACACTTACAGGTCTTGTCCCTCCCACAGGTCTTGTCCCTCCCACAGCCTGTGACTGGACAGCGAAAGGAGATGCAGCACACTGATGAGCTCATCTCTCTGTCACTCTGCATGTTCCTAGTTAGCACATGTTGCACAACTGATTGTGCACATAGTGCTGCTTCTCCCTCTCCTAGTCTGAGCTCTGCTGTACAAGAGACTGATACCAGGTCAGATTTAGGTACTTACACTGCTTGTGTTACAAAATACAATGAATGATTTATTCATGAACGCAGAGCGCCATCGTTTGGTGTCTTTTATATCTGCCCGGAGCTCAGCTTTCATATTCAGGACTGAAGTACCTGAGGAAGGGCAAGCTCTGCTGGGGACATTGTGTTGTCCATACACACAGGGCCGTCTTTAACGGGGGGCAAAAGGGACAGTTGCTTCAGGCCCAGTCATTGTTGTGGGGCCCAAAGCAGCTACCTCTTGAGGCCGCAAAGGATACACATGCGGCACCGTTCTGTTTACTATGTGATTGGAATTGTATGGTGTTGCTCCGCCCCTGCCGTATGCCGTGTACTGTGACGTCTCCCTCTGATGGGGCTGGTATGGGTGGGAG